AGCATTCCCACAAGGAAGGGAAGCAGGTGACTGTTGCAAAGAGCTGATTTCTGTCATCTCGGAAATGAAGGCTTGACTTCGTTTCAGGTTTCAGGATGGCAAGGAAAATGCCCTTCCTGAGGGCAGTGTTGGTCAGAAATACACTGATGTGATCTCAGTGGGCTTCCACAAGAAACTCTCATTTAGCTTACAACAGGGTGTGTTTCTCAGAACACATTTACAATAGGGACAACTTCTATCACAGCAAATACTTTGGTTATAACCAAACATGTTGATTTCCTGTAGCTGAGAAGACCTTTTCTTAAGCCCATTTCTGATTTAATTTCTGTGGTAGGTAGGAAGAAGTCTGCTTACCACAGAAGGGATTTCTAAGTCATCTATACAGATCAACTTTGTTTCTGCACAATGAGAAGCTATCCACAGGAGCTCTCTTTACATGTTTTTGGCCCTGTTGAAAGGGGTGGAGTTTCTGCAGGTCTCTGTTAGTAGCCAAGTTTCCGAGTTTTAATTTGGGTGAGCGTGCAATTTCAGGAAACTGGAAAGAAGACTGCAAGACTGCTTGGGTCAGTAAAAAGGACACCAGGCTTGAGAGTTGAGTCCTCTGTCTCTGTCCTCACGATGTAAGAGATTGACATTGTCCAGGCAAAAAGCTAGACAGGAGCAGGCAAGTTTTGCCCTCCCTTCGGAGGAGGCTCTTTTCAGACTAGGCACGAAGGCATCAAGTGCCTTTCTAGCTCTCATGGACGTCTCGCCCTAGACTGCTCAGCAGCTCCTGTCTGTGTGGCTTGTGCTGTAGAAGGGCCAGCGGCTGTGAGGCAGTGTGTTGGGGGGAAGTATTGACAAGATTGTTGACAACTCTGAAGGTCACGTACACAAGCGCAGCTGTGGAGCGGTCGGCAGTGAGGGCAGAGCTCCTGAGCTGCCTTTGGCTGATCCTGCAGTCACGCAAAAGAGATTGCCTCTGGACTCAGGCATCTGAAATGGTTCTGACAAGCACATCCCACCCCTTCATCTCCCTCCTTCTTCCCAGCTTGGCTGAATGAGTTGTTTGCAGCCAGTTAGCTGAACAAACGGGGAAAGTCCCTGGAAATTCGCCTGTTTATCTCAAGGCCATCATTTCCCCTATAGCTGTAGGTCAAACAATGTGTATGTTGGAGAGGGAATTCTCCTCTTACCTCTTTGTATGTATTTCTTAATATTGCCTTATTTCATTTTCTTACTGTGCTGTGAAATACTTTGTTTACCTTGCCTTGTAGCTTTAGTATTTTCTTTTGGTACTTTCTCCCTTTCTCCATTTCATAAATTTCACATAAATTATCATGAATAAACTTGTTTTTCCTGTCTGTCACTTATTGTTTGCTTTATCACTAGTTACCTCTTGATGAGCTGATATGATATTGCACAATTCTAGGCTGTTAACAGTACCAAACAGACCAAGAAGTAGATGTTAATTTTCTGCCAAGCTTAAAATGACTTCAGAATTTTTGTCATTCTTTTCTCAGTTGTAACCAGAATGTTTTATGGCAGCATTTCCTTTTCATCACTGTTGCTCAATGTTCTTGTTCTTTTTGTAACCTCAGCAGGAACTGTTAAAGTAATCACCGAGTAGATTTGTATATTAGAGTAGGAAGGCCGTTAGCAAATTGACAGTGAAAGTCAGAAGCATAGCAAAATACACAGTTCAAAGCACCTAAAATAATGTAGTCCAGTGTTAACAGATCACCTTAAGTAGTGTGTCCTTTTGGGTTTTGGTTTTTGTTTGTGTTTTTTTTTTTTTTTTTGTAAAACAGGCTAAATGATTAACTAAACCTGTATTTTTTTTCAGTGATATTCAAGGAAAATAGTTGGAGCAGATAGATTTTTAGTTTGTAAACAGACACAGTTGTCTGTAGTCTTACCAATTAAGGCAAATGTCTTGCTTGGCCACCATTAGCATAAATAACGCGTGTTTATGGTGCTGTGTGCTACTTAATCCTGTGCTTGTACAGACATATGCTGCATGCTTTCTCTGTAGCAAGTTTATACTTTGTGTGTGTGGATATATGTATGTATATACATGTTTATATATGTGTGTGCCATATATATGTATCTTGACTGATGGAGAAGATAGAGCATCTGGAGTACACTATTAGTCACGGGATGACGTACAGGTATGGGACTTGCTTTCAAGAGAAATAAAATGGCTTAACATCAATATGCAAATACTAATTACAGTGTGCCCAGACAAACGGTCTGGTGCGGTCCTCTCAGAGCTGTTGCTCCTCGTGCTTTGCAGAATACCTTCTGCACCAGTTAGAACCAGTTCATGCTTTACAGCCATTTAGCAGCTAGAAGCTTTATTTTACCTATTTTATTTTAAAACAAAATAGCTTAAGAACATGAAAGTAGCTTCGAGGTAGTATCTGGATGGCATACCAGCACAGGCTAGCAGCTTCAGCTAATGCTTTCAAAACTGCAACTGTTGGGTTGATCTTAATCCTTCAGTCTCGAGTAAGTTTCTTCATGGATTAAGGAGCTGGCTTGGTATTTGTAATGCTTTTCCTATGGCAAGTGTCAGTTGTCTTTCCTTCTTAGCAGTTCCACTTGCATTGCTGGTCTCTGTAGACTTTCCTGGGTTAAGCTGCATCTATGTGGCATTTGGATTTTACTGCAAGTTTGTCTAACTGTAGGTAGTTTACTTTTTTTTTTTTTTCTTTTTGACAAAAAGCTAGTGGATACCCTCATCCTGTTACTACTTCTGACAGAGTCATTTGTGCTTTTTCTACCAAGGTCCCAGGGGAATTGCCGGGGGTGGGGGAAGAAAAAAAAAAAAAAGAAGAAGTTAGCACTGATAACCCTTAACAGACTTGGTATGAGCCTTGCACTTCAAACTTGGTTGTTGGTATTTGGTGTGCAGCACCAAGTTCTCCAGAAGTTGGAAAGAAAGAAGCGATTAGTCTAGGTGGTGCTTCACCTCCAGCCAGCCCCCATTTGCATGAGCTGCTTCCTTGGGCTGTCTCCAAATGTGTGAAACAGGAGCTCAAGACTGATTCTGATGTCAGCTGCATGAAATTTTTTGTCCTGGTTATTATGGCCTCTGTGATGAGACCTGTGTGGGAACCTCATGGGCAAGGATTTGGATTTGGTTTGCTGTAGCAGTATTCCTGGGTACTGCAGCCTCAATTTTCTGTGAGGAAGCGAAAGCTACAGATGCAGATTTTGTTCCTTGTATTACCAAGCCACGTAGGAGGTGGGGAAAAGATCACCTGCAGCAGGGACTGGCAGCTGGAGGATGCTCAGGGCGTACTGATGTGCTCTGAGCCTGACACCAGCTGGGTTACTGGAGCTGCTCTTGCTGGAGCAATCTTTGGATCTCGGCTAGAAGTATTTCCCAGAGGACCGAGCTGAGAGGGACCTGGGAAATCCTCTACAAATATTCCTTCACACGTCTCTGCTGCTGCACTAAGAAAGGGAGAATGCAGCTCCCTCTGCAGCTGGACTGCTGCCAGCAGCAGCATCTGCATCCACATTGCCCCATAGCTTCAGCATCACGTAAGTCCTGCTCTGGTAAGCTTGTTGTTGTAACGATGATGGCCAGAGCGTGGTTTTAAATTGAAGTTTTGAATATGCTGTCTGATCTGACTGGTCGGTGGCTACACGCTGACAAGTCGGATTTCACAGAGCTGTAAGAAATAGATACTATGTGGGTTGAAGGACTGTAGAAGGGAGGACATTCCACAGGAGGTGTATAGTAGGCAACCCTTGCAGCATATCTGAGGACCAGTCTTCAGAAGGAAGGGGCATGCAGTATTGTGCATGGACTTGGAAGTACGAATGTTGACAGGTAAATTGCTTTCCATCTAAAGTGGTTTCAGCAGGGGCAGAAATAAGCTATGAGAAGGAAGAGATAGTTATTTTTGGTTTCAGTCAGTGTCAAATATGTTCAAGAAAACACAAGGGAGAATTTAAGGCTAAAAAAAGGGAGGAGGGCAGGCAGGAGAAAACACTGAAGAGAAAGCAGGAGGGTTGGAGAGAACTTTGCAGGGCAAGCAGAAGGAAAAAAAAAAAAAAAAAAAAAAAAAGGATTGTCAGAGGCAGCATGGCATGGTGGGCTGGAGCAAGCTGTGGGAGGGTGTCAAAGCAGTTGCCATTCCCCTCCTCTTTCCCTTCCCTGGAAATCATTTGCTTCACCAGGAGTATGTTGTGGTTCAGGTGTTTTGTTTGTTGTTTTGTTTTTATTTGCATGACTGGAGTTTATGTGCTTCAGTCACATCTCTTGAATCACCACTGTCCGTTGTTGTAGTTGTGTACTACAGCCATATGGCTGTTAATCCTCTAAAGTTGCCCTCTCAGCTGTACATGTATAGAAAGTAATGTGGTACCCAAGTCCGCAAGCCTGCAACTGATGGAATCAATCCTAATTCATACTGATGTTTTGGGGGCAAATTCTGTTCATTTGCTTTGCCAGAAGGAGTGTACAAGCCTGGCAGACAGACAACTGTGTGTCCTGGGAGCCCGAGAAGGTCCTGACCAGACTCATTGTTACAGTGCTGATACTTTTGCATATAGGTAAATCTATATACAGATGTCAGGAGAATTGAGGCCTGATTTATGAATTATTTAGGCTCATGACTTACAGTTACTTAGGGCACCTTGTGAAACTGATGGCAGATGTGTAGTAGATCATGCTCATGATGTTGGTTGATGCTTAAGAAGGAAACCTTAAATGTGATTCCCAGGTTTTCTGGTGAAAAACTGAACATCTCAAATGCAAGCTGTTTGGTTTGGCAATGATAGTATTGTTCACGTAGGGTACCTTTACTTTGGGAACTGTGTTGCTGAATTCAGGGATCAGGTCCAGTTTGTGTGTTATTAGGAGAGCAACTGCTGCCTCTTTTGGAACTGTTGGGTAAATGAAATGTTTATGATGCCAAGTGATTTTTCAACAGTAAATCTATAATTATTTTCCAAAACTCAGCATGGAAGTGTTCTGACCCTATAATCTTTTCTAATCTTAATAGGACTTTACAGACTCCAACCCAAGTTCCAGTGGTTGTTTCTCCTGGAAATCAGCAGCTGCATACTGTAACACTCCAGACGGTGCCTCTTACTACAGTGATAGCCAGCACAGATCCAGCCTCAGCAACAACACCCCAAAAATTCATTTTACAAGCCATTCCTACATCACAGCCCATGACAGTTCTTAAAGAGAACGTCATGCTACAGTCTCAGAAGCCAGTCTCGCCTCCTTCCTCAATTGTGCTGAGCCCAGCACAAGTTCAGCAGGTGCTCACCAGCAGCGTGCAGACAATTTGCAATGGAACAGTCAACATGGCTTCGTCTCCATCCTTCAGTGCCACTACCCCCGTGGTAACGTTTTCACCTAGCAGCTCACAGGTGGTAGCTCATCCATCGGGCACGGTGATCACTTCGGTTATTAAAGCACCAGAAACAAAACAGATTGGCATGCAGGGAGTGGTAAAGGAAGAAGACAGTGACGAATTAGATGATACTGAGCAGTCGGAGCAGAGATTCCAGCAGCAACCGTTTGTGATGGTAGTGTCCAGTTCAAATGGCTTCCCATCTAACGTGCAAGTGAAGCAAGAAAATGAGCCATTGGAACCCAATTCATATTAATAAATTAAAAAAAAAAAAAAAAAGACCCTGTGGATGATTATTTTCATAAATGTGATGGGACCTTTTCAGTTATGTATATATGATTTGATTCTGAAGCAAGATTTTGCAAAGCTACTTAATTTCTGCAGTTAATTTTTAGAATTCATGCTTTAGAATGGATTTTGATTTTCTGTTAATTGCTAAATGTTATCATACAAATAAAATTATATATTACTCATGTTTCAAGATACAGGCATGAAGGAACATGCTTTTTACGCTATGAAGACTTTCCTTGAGGTTGTTGGCCAAAGTTTCAAACTTCTTTCTTGCTGTACGTTTTCAGTCTGTTGCTGATTTACATTGCAGTAACATTATTATAACCTTTTCTGTTTAATCCATATGTGTATCACTTAACTTTTGAAGCAACAGTTACTTTTAGTGGGACATTTTCATTCCATGTGTATGAGTTTTTATCATCAAGTTACCTGTTTCCTACTGGTGAATGACACCAGTTTAGACTTTGATAACCAGGTAACCTCCTGCATTTTTTGCAGCACAAGCTCTTGTGCGTGCAAAATTGAATATACACTCCTATTGAGAGTACACGAAACATTTATTCCAGTAATGGACAATGCCATGTCTATATTTTATATGAAAACATCAGATATATTTAATTACAGAAGCTAACGGCATCACTACAGGTGCAAACGTTTCATGCCATTTTGCGACTATGAAGCTTAACAATCTTGCTTTCTACTTCAGATTATTTTGTAAGGGGGGAGGGAAATTAAATATACACAATTTATGCAGGTATTTGGAGATTAATACTGCTAAGAGTTCTTTTTTTTTTTTTGATTGTAAATAATGTACATTTAATGTCACAGGGAAGTTTTTTCAGCTAATTTGTTTCCATACAAATTTTTGATAGATGCAAATAAGATCATTATGTTTAGAGGTCTAATGTTATATGTATTCATATTACAGAGTGAATTTGTATTTAAAGACAAATTTTTAAATGATGGAGCCCTCTGAAGCTTGGGTCCTTGTCTTTTGTATTTTTAATTGGTTTATTATGAAAATAAATCAAGTGGAAAAACATGTTTCTGTATTTACTCGGAAATGCTTCTATATTATAGCGTTTTGATGACCATCATAAATAACCAAAATACACGGAGAAGTAGGCAACGTGCTTAATCAGTGTGGGTCTGTGGTGGGACATTAGCAATTCACTAATCACTCCTGAACAGACTTAAATGCAACTACCATGCTGTGGGTATCTGTTGAAAGAGCAGTACTGCGTGTTTTTTGTAGCTCCAATGAAAGTTGAGCTAAATCCAAGAACTGGACTTAAACTGCTCCTTTCCTGTCGCTTCCCAATATGTGAGAAGCAACCCAAAACTCTGAACATAATTCTGGGGTGCCACTCATCGCAAAGGTCTCTGTAGCTTGTATAACACAACCGTAGCCCCAAACTGCTAGGGCTTCACAACCTCGCATGTTGTAGTGTTTCAACAGAAGGCGGATTAAAAATAAATACGATGCCTGGTAAGATCAGTGGAATGTAAAATTAAAGGAAATACGACTTTCTATGATTGAATTCATGTAGGGGTTTTATTGATTGGTCCATAAGGTTAAATTTAAAGATAAGCATAGGAGTAGTAGAAAAACTAACGGGAGCAGAACTGTGGCAGAGAGAGTTTGCTCTAGTTGGATAAAGTAACTCTACAGACCATTAAACGAGCGGTTCTCTGCCTCAGCTGCCCCGTTTCTTGGCCGTTGAAACCGCGCTGTTCAATCCACCGTGTCTCTCCCCCCGGACTCCCACGCAGCCTGCAAATCCCGCTCGCCCCGTTTTCGGGGATGCTGGCCGTACCCCCACCCAAGGGACTGCGGCCGGCTGAGGGGTCTGGCAGGGCTCCCCGCAGCTGGGGAGCGCTGGCAACGCTGCTGGGAACGTGCCCGAGCGTTCAGAAACGCATCCGGGACGGTTCTCGTCCTGAGGGTTATTTCAGGTTGATGGAAGCACTGGAGAGGGTAGTTTTTTTAATCGGACTATAAAATAGGGACTTCTTCCTGTAGTACAAGTTTTTCATAATACTAGGAAATCTGAAGTGATAACAGTTGACTGACATTAATGTTTATCGCACTTGGGTAAATTGTTCTGCTGATTTACGGGAAACATGAAAAAAAAAAAAAAAAAATCACACTGTAAGCTTACAACTTCGCCAACAAAACTTCTTGCCGTGGGTGCAACTACTACAAAGGGAAAATGGTTTGTCAGCTTGGTTTTATGTCAGCTGGAGAAAACCTTCAGCAGACAGCATCTCACCTCCAGCAGCGCTCTATTGTGAAACCAGAAGTAAATGGAAATCACTCCCTTCCCTGGTCCCTTCTGCTCCAGCCGGGTGTCTGTCTGTACTTCCAGCTCGCCTTGGTAGGACGAAGGGAGAAGCTGGAGTAAATCCTAAAATGAGGGCTCACATTTGGAGTTGGAGCAACTCCTCCCCTCTCACAGCTGCCTTTGTGCCTGGGGCAGCGGCCGAACAAAACGCACCATCTCGAATGCCAGCCGCTACCGACTCAGAAATAAATAAAATAAAATAAAATAAAATAAAATAAAATAAAATAAAATAAAATAAATAAACACAAACCAACCAACCAAAACTGAGGCAGGCCCTAGCTCTTTCCTGCACGCGTGTGAGGTTGCGGCGGAGAAAAAAGCCGCTTTTTCCTGAGGCGTTTGACGGAAGGGACCGCGGGCGCGAACCCCCCCCAGCCCTCCCCTCAGGCTCGCCCCCCCGCAAATGGCCGCCCCGCCCGTTCCTTGCTCTTTCCCCGTGTCGGGGCGGGGAGGGCGCCAACCTTCCGCAGGGAGAGGTCCCGCCCCCCCCCCGCCTGCCACGGGCGCCGCCGGGGGTGGAGGCAGAGGCGGTCGGCGGGGCCCCCCCCCCCCCTCCCCGCCCGGCCCGTGTCGGGGGGCGGAGGCGCGGCCGCCATGGCCGCCCCGCCCGGGGGAGGCGCGGGAGGAGCTTGCGGCGCCCCTCCGCCTCTCCCGGCAGGCCTTGCGCGGCGGCGGCGGCGGCGGCGGCCTTGGGGTTGGCGGCGCGGGCGCCTCAGCGGCTCCAGAAGTTTCCCCGGGGCGGGGTGGGGGTGGCATGGCGGCGGCTCCTCCGCGGTGAGCCCCTTCCCTCCCCTCCCTTCCTTCCTTCCCCTTTCCCCTCCCTCCTCTTCTTCCCCCGCCCACCGCCTCGCTCACCGGACGCCGTTGTGTTTCCTCGGCAGGTTCTCGGATGGGGACGTCGACCGGGACCCGGGGGCGGCGGCGAAGGTGAGGGCCGGGCCGGGCCGGCTGTGGGGCTGGGCGGCGGGCCTTGACACCGCCCCCCCCCCGTGTTTGAAGTTTACCGGGCGGCTGAGCCGCCGGTGTTGGGGGGCGCTGGCGGGAAGCCGGGGCTCCCAGCGTGGCCTCCGGCGCTCTTAGGGGTGAGGGGAGCGAGCTGAAAGCGTCGCGCGTGTTCCCCTCCCTGCGGGCGTGGGGCGGGGGGGGCTTGCGAAGGTTCCTCTGGAAGGGGGAAGCGCTCTTGGGGGGAGGCCTGGCAGCGAGGTTCTGTCAAAATACTCGTGGTACCTGCGTTGCGAGGAAGGAAGGGAAAAACAACCGAAGCAACTTTCTCTTCCGTCTAGGTGGACGGTAGTTCAGATAACTAAACCAATGGCAATTTGCGGTTAAAAACGCCCCAAGCTGCTTCTTGGAGAAACGTCTTCAATCTTTATTAGTTTTTATTTTGCCCTAATCTGTTTTTTTTTTTTTCACTCTTTCTGTATTTCGTGGGCACCAGAACTGATTTTCGTTTCATCTCAACATAAAACATGATTTTTTTGCGGTGAAAACCATCATTCTCTGGAACAGCCTCCCCGTGGATGTGGTAGAGTCCTCATCACTGGAGGCTTCGAGACGTGACTGGACAGGGTGCCAGATAATATCATCTGGGCTCCCTTTCCTGTGGAAGGTTGGATGAGATGATCTTTCAGTGTCTCTTCCAACCTGGCCTGACCTATGATTCTATGATTTTACCCATTAATATGTATTAATGGGCTTTCAGAGGTTATTTTTACTTAAAACAGAGGAAGAAAGAACTGGAGGGTGGATTAGTATTCCTTTTTAACATACTTGGAAGGGGAGAGGATGTAGATGTTTAGTTCTGCTTGAATAGAGTAGGTGGCAAAAGCATGAGATGATACTAAATTATCTTTCCATAAAGAAAATGGTGAAGCTAAATCTTGCAGTTCTTTGAGGTTTGGGCTGTAGCTTGTAGAAGTTTTTCAGAACATAAGTGACATCTAAAAAGTATTTTGGAATAACCAAATATATTTGGCATAGTAAAACTAATTTACGATCTAAAAAAAAAGTAAGTTTCTCTTTGGGGGGGGAAAAACACCAACAAACCAAAAACCCCCAACACCAAAAGGTCTTTGGAAGTATTAAAGGATACTATTAGAATATGCTTTTTTTTTTTTTTTTTCTCTGTTAACATAATTGCTTTGCATTTCTAGGTTATATTTCATTTCTCTGTATGTTCAGTGCTTCAAACCAAAATGTAACACATTTTATAGGCATTATTTAATATCTGATACAGTAATACTGGTGTCACTTGTGCAGCCTTTTAAAAAAGTATTTTGAGTAGTAATTTTAAAGTATTTTAAGTAGTATTTTAAAAGTAATATGAATTGAGTAGAGAGGTTGTGCTTGATGATCTCTGGACTGGTAAGTCCCGTAGTTCGATGTAGTATTTTGCTGACTGAGAAGCTTGAATCTACAGGTACTATATCATGTTTGCATGATCTTAGGTGTGGTCTTTTAGTTCATGTACTTCATATTTCTAATATGGGACATGATACTATATAAAAGGTGCTGTCTAATGCTTCCATATCTGACTAGACTTGTGTCCAGCTGGCGTGGCATTTCTGCACTGTGTCCTCAGGACTTCTGATTCCTTTAACTGTTGGAGAGCATGCTTCAGTTTTCTGCACCTGGATCTGATAAAACTGAAAGATTGTCATCCATCCTTAAACACTGTCTGAATGATATAACTGCAGACTCTTTAATAACTTTTTTGTGATTTTAAAATGAAAAAGTAGGTTACTATGCGAAGACCAAAAGCACCTTTAATTCATACAAACTCATCGTTAGCATGGAGTTATCTGAAGATTTCCAATGTGTTTAGAAGTAGATTTGTGGGTTGGTCACATGGTAAGGGCCTTTAGAGTCAAAATATATAGAAAACACATACTGGAGTATTTGTGAGGACAAGGTCTAAGCTTGCTCTAAGTACCTGTTGCTGATGTCCATAACCTGGAATTCCTGGTGCTAGTCGACTAGTACTTGGCTGTCTTCTCCAGTAGCTGAGTTGTAGGAGTAACTTATTCTCTGTGTGTGGCTGAACGAGATGTGACAATTTACTGATAAAAAGCCAACAGAGATGAGTTTCACACTGTTGAAAATGCTTGGGTTTGGTTTTCTTTGCTTTCCTTGGGTGAGGTTCTGTAGAGAATCCATTCATATAGTGTCTTCTGGTTCTAATCAATGTTTCTGTCCTCAGCGTAGATCACAGGAAATAATGTTTGGAGTGAGAGGTGATCTGTCATAAAAGTGACTCTGCTTGTGATGTGCCTGTAATGTTCAGCGTCTTCAGTCAGACCCCAGTTGCTTTTGAGGGTCAAAAGCTGTACTTCACTTCTGAGCATAAGATGAACCACTTTTAATACGTGTGTTATCTCGTGTCCCTCCTGTGTGGAATACCTATAGCCACGAGTATTTCCATGATGATGACTGCTTTTGACTTTGATCTTAGGAAGGCTTCAGTACAGTTAGATCAAGTTTCAGTTGTCTACTGATTACCACTTGCTTCAGAGACACCCCCCCCCCCCAAGGTTTTCGATTTATATGCTGTAACTATATATAATTTGCATATCTCACAGTGGCAGGAACTCATGATACTGCTAAAAGAAGCTGTTGTGGCCACTTAGCTCGTTGCTGGTGTAACTGTTTTATGTGCGATACATAAAACAGAACAAGACACTGACCTGAATTAAAACAA